TAGTAGTAGTAGTAGTAGTAAAATGTTTATTAACGTGTCACACGCACAACATTTACATTAAAATACAGAATAACATTTTACATTTTAATGGTAGTGCGTCCAGCCATACATGGGCTTATGAGACACTGTAAATACATTATAACAAGATTAATGATACACACATAATACAATATATTATGGGAGATAGAAATTTAGGCAGATTGTAGATAAGACACACTGATAACAACAACAGACTCCTCGATGAAACAACAAAAGAGAATGAAAAAGATTTCTTAAAATAAGCATAATAAAATAAGTCCAAAAATGAAAAAGCATAAATAAGAATAAATTAGATATGCATTTTTTATATAAAATTAACTTTATACCGCCATTTGACGTCTTTTGCTAATTCTTTTTGTAAAACATCGGAATTCACTATATAAAACAATTTATCTTCAACACAAAGGTGATTAAAATTACGGTTGCTTCCTGCAGCTGCCTTAAAAAAGGTTGAATCTAATGTCTTTATAAGAAATGGTCCACAGTGATTACTCGACAATCCTTGAAATGTGGCACGACTGCTGTTTCACAGGCATAAACATTTTAGCACATGATGTTTTTCAGCAAAGCGTGTTATTTACGGAGATCAACGGAGGTCCCCGATAACATGCCATGCGTGAATGAATGAATACATCGACACTCCATGCTACTCATAAAATCAAGCGTCGAAAGACTTTCTGTGGTTCTTTTGAATTGGTGATATCAGTCCTATTTCTGGTGACAGAGCTTCCAATTTACAAAAAATATCTATTGATCACTATGTGTACATAGCTGGCTTAAAAGCAAAACTGACTGAATACCACACTGCAGTTTGTAAATATGAAGTAAGAATTTTAAAAAGATGTCAGCAAAGGATAACATTCTAGTTCGAGTAAATACTTCTCAATGTGTATTTAAGAGACATGTGGCGGGACCTTATATCATAAATAAAGACACATGATATACAGGTTCACGTTAAAGCATTGATAAATTCCTCATGAAAAAGGAATTCTACACACCTGAGTAAATGTTGCCGCCAACTACGCACTAGACTGCTGACAAACTTGCTTCCCCTGTCTGTTGTTGCTAATAAACATGGATCAAAACATTGGAAGTATTGACTGATCGATGTCAGCGAAACGTGTAGCATTTGATGGACAGAAATGATGGACGCGAATATACCAGATATGTTACCATCATATATCTTTTTAGGTACAAGGTTGTTGCGCCCCCATTAGATGTGAACCAAATTGCTAACCCCTACCTCCCCAGAAGAAGATGGGTCACACACACACACACACACACACACACACACACACACACACACACACACTTAAAATCACATCACACACACACACACATCTGTCCCTTCGTCGGGGACAGCACACACACACACAGTGAGTGCCAGATCATACCGAGGGGAGCCAGTGAGTTATGATCTGTACCTTCGTCGGGGAGATCAGTACCGAGGAGCCCAGTGAGTGCCAGATCACGGAGGGGAGCCGAGTGAGTGCCAGATCAGTACCGAGGGGAGCCCAGTGAGTGCCAGATCAGTACCGAGGGGAGCCGAGTGAGTGCCAGATCAGTACCGAGGGGAGCCCAGTGAGTGCCAGATCAGTACCGAGGGGAGCCCAGTGAGTGCCAGATCAGTACCGAGGGGAGCGCAGTCAGTGCCAGATGAGAACCGAGGGGAGCACAGTCAGTGCCAGATCAGCACAGAGGGGCGCACAGTTAGTGCCAGATCAGTACGGAGGGGATCACAGTCAGTGCTGGATCAGCACAGAGAGGCGCACAGTTAGTGCCTGATCAGTACGGAGGGGAGCACAGTCAGTGCTGGATCAGCACGGAGGGGTTGAGTTCACAATGGCAGACCGGCGTTCTAGGGACAACAAGGCCGTCTCGTAAACAACTGGTGTTTTGCTGACTCGTATCTTTCCAATCAACTGGACTTCTGGAATGGGGTTCAAACACAAGTGCACATCCATCAATGAGCCAAGATTTCACTGTGTCATGAAGCATGGAAAGCTGTGTGTTCAATCGAACAAAGTCAACATCATCTTTGTAGAGTTCTCTGATGTCAGAAGATATTTGAAAGTGGCATGGAGTACAACGAGTCTTCTCCCCTGACCGGATGGGACTGTGGGCGCTCTGCTGGAGACGCGCGCCCGTGGACAGCCACATGTAGTCAGTGGAATGTTTTTGATTTACACATGTCTCTTCCAGATAGACCACTTGGAACCCCAGAGAGCGATACTCCTCAATACTACGAAGATAACTAGATCTCATCGTGAAAACAGAATATTTTCCCCTGAATACGTCCATGTCATCTCCCCGATTTTTGTATCTGAACCCCAAATCATGAAGAGCAATGACAAGTGTTGTTTTAGAAATGTTAATGGAGTTGCCTTTTCTGCCTGGATTCTACGACATGTTGGTGGTACTTTCTGGTCATAGAGCCTGACAACCGTTCCACGAATGACTTCCTTGTCAAAGTTGTCAAGCTGTTTTCTTCCTAGTTAAACTTTTGAGACGACCCCTACTTGCTGTGTTTTGTTTACAATTAAATATACTTTGTTATATGGAACTCCTAATGCTCGACTAGTGCGGTAAAGCATTCTGTCGGGACTAACAAGAGGTTTCTCCGATCTTTCTGTAAGCTAAAGTTGGCAATGAAAGTTTTAATGTAACTGTGCATGTCGGAGATCAGTACGGAGGGGAGCCCAGTCAGTGCTAGATCAGCAGAAAGAGGCGCACAGTTTGTTCCACATCAGCACGGAGGGGTGCATAGTCAGTTCCATATCAGTACGGAGGGGAGCACAGTTAGTGGCTGATCAGTACGGAGGGGCGCACAGTTAGTGTCAGATCAGTACGATAGGGGAGCACAGTCAGTTTCAGATCTGTACGGAGGGGAGTACAGTTAGTGCCAGATGAGTACGAAGGGCAGCACAGTTAGTGCCAGATGAGTACGAAGGGCAGCACAGTTAGTGCCAGATCAGTACGGAAGGGCGCACAGTTAGTGTCAGATCAGTACGATAGGGGAGCACAGTCAGTTTCAGATCTGTACGGAGGGGAGTACAGGTATTGCAAGATCTGTATGGAGGGGAGCACAGTCAGTGTCAGATCAGTACGGCTGGGAGCACAGTCAGTTTCAGATCTGTACGGAGGGGAGCACAGTCAGTGCCAGATCAGTACGGAGGGGAGCACACAGTCAGATCTGTCGGAGATCAGTACCGTACGGAGGGGAGCACAGTCAGCTTCAGCCATCTGATCTGTACGGAGGGAGCACGGTTATTGCAAGCACAGGGAGCAGTGGCAGATCTGTACGGAGGGGAGCACAGTTAGTGCCAGATCTGTACGGAAGGGAGCACGGTTATTGCAAGATCTCTACGGAGGGGAGCACAGTCAGTGTCAGATCTGTACGAAGGGGAGCACAGTTAGTGCCAGATCTGTACGGAGGGGTGCACAGTTAGTGGCAGATCTGTACGGAGGGGAGCACAGTTAGTGGCAGATCAGCACGGAGGGGAGCACAGCCAGTGCCAGATCTGTACGGAAGGGAGCACGGTTAGTGCCGGATCAGTACGGAGGGGAGCACGGTTATTGCCAGATCAGTACGGAGGGGAGCACAGTTAGTGCCAGATCAGCACGAAGGGGAGCACAGTCAGTGCAAGATCAGCACGGAGGAATTCTAACCCGGATTTTCGCGGGTCGGCAAGACAACGTGTGGGAACAATTAGTAATGTTAATAAATAACGCATACCCACTGAAGAAATAAGATTATTGAAATTTATTCCATGGTATCATTCCCACCTCAGCACTGAGTTATGTCAGGATCAAGGTAGACATTTTCCCACGTAAACAGTGTTGCTTTTATACAAACAGTCGTCATTGGTTTTCATACAATATTTTACGAACGCCTCGCAAATTGTGAGAATGCTAGAAAAATGCATTAACGAGTAGTGAGTAAGTTTAGTTTTACGCCGCACTCAGACATATTCAAGCTATATGGCGGCGGTCTGTAAATAATCGAGTCTGGACCAGACAACCAAGTGATCAACAGCATGAGCATCGATCTGCGCAATTGGGAACTGATGACATGTGTCAACCAAGCCAACGCGCCTGATCACCCGATCCCGTTAGTTGCCTCTTACAATAAGCATGGGTTACTGAAGATCAATTGTAACTCAGATCTTCACGGGGGAGAAAAACATTAAATGACTTGGTTAAAGATAAAGTCATCAGAAACATGTCCCCCATCTTTTAATGCAAAAGTATTTTCATGGGTTTTTTAATCGCGAAAACAGTTTCTGTTAGCTCATCTTCGGCCATTATGCATATTCATATCTCTTCACTCGTGACGTCATATGTAACCAGACTCGGTTACGCTGTAATAAAGTAAAGTGCATTTTTCTGTGGTTTCTGTAAATGGTACGATTGTGTGGAGGCACCGTGTCATCAAACAATGGGAAGAACCACCATTTCTTCCGTTTTCGAAGTGAAAAGACAGATTTAGGTAGGAGAAAGGTGTTGATCACTGGATTGTTTGGTCCAGTCTCGATTATTTACAGACCACCCACATATATTGTTGAGTGCGGCGTAAAACAACTAATCAACAACAAATCATATTCGATCAGCAATATAGTGTATGCACTGCATCGAATTTCATATTTTCTGTCATGATTCACAACTGACTAGCCCTTGCACATGTTTATGACGGATGCCACCGGTGATAAAGTATATGATCAGGTTCCGCAAACACCAGGTATCATCAGTATTTGAATGATCGATAAGCTCATGAATTGTGCAATCGACTTCTTTTGTTTGGGTTTGTCGATTATTTTCTGAATGTATTCCATTTTACCTGACAAAATATAACTAGAACTCTATCGCATGAACCTGATAGAGTTAACAGCGGTAGAGACTAGCATGTAAAATATTATACAAGATGCATTTAGAGGCTCAAATGTCAATGAAAACAGGATTGCTGCGATTTTCAATGGCTTTATTCTTTCAATGCGAAGTGTCGTTACAGATGACAATGCTAAATGTCTGCTTGAGACATGTAGTTACATGTGAATGTTGATCTTTACATTCTGATGAAGACAAGATTTATTTTTGTTCTTCAAATATGACGTTTTAGGATATATGGCAGTGGCATGTGATTGCTTGAGAAAACGTCCTGTTGAAATAAAACACACATCCATAGGGTAACCTATCTTCATTAGAATGTGAAGATCAGCATTTTAGCAAATTACAATATTTTTAGACTCAAAGGCTGGAGTTATATATCTAGTAGATAAGACGCTTGCTTGGTAAATACACATGACAACACTGAATACAATGGAAGAGGGTCATACAATGTATGAAGCGGAGCTGGTAGCTACAGAATACAAGACAAACACGAAAGCATGGCCAATGACAATTATAAAAACAGAAATAATATGTTTAGTCAAAAATGAAGGATCTAATGTAGATTGACAATTAACTATTAACATATTAGCCCAGGGCTAGGTCGAATTAATGTTCAATTTGTTTTTCACCCCCTCACACAGTTTATCTGAGGAATAGAGGCAACTTTTGGACTAAAGAATTAAACTTTAAGCAAGGCACTACTAAACGGTCCCAACAACCTCATATTCACAATGGGGACTGTAATGAAGTACACACAAAACTATTTAAAAAATCATTAAACCGAAAATGATCCTGTAATAACTGCAAGAACATTGAACTACCCAGAAATTATGAATACGCAGTGCCTTTTCAAAAAGAATTACATTTTGTACTCCTGATTCGCAGGTGAAGTACCGATTCCAGTGCTTTTTGGGGTCAAGTCTGGGGTGCCAACGCAAACTCTCAGAGAGGGACAATCTAACCGACCCAGCCCCCACTACTTCCACATAAATGGAAGTCTAACAACTTCTGGTCTAGAACAAGCACTTTGTGTTCCGTCTGACAGTGTTAAAAAGACACGTCCGAAAGCTCTGACAACACAATGCCTTTCAGAAAGTGGCCAAAGGTAATATGTGTTGCATTTGGGATTACACTTTCTTAGTGTACAAATACGAGGGGTGTGTTCGAATCCGAGATGGGATTTAACCCAAAACAGTACTTGAGTTCCAAATATGAACGTTTAATACCAAATAGAACATTTGTAACATTTGGCCAGAAACTTGTCAGTCTGGTGATCTCGATTGTTCTATTTCACATTGCAGTCGTTTTGTTGGGTCTGTTGAATAACAAAATGAACTTTTGAAACCTGCATGGCGATCATGACTGGAAGGTAAAACGCTCTTTGAAGGAACTCCCCTTGACGATGATGTTGTTTTCATGAATGTTACACTGACGCTTCAGACAGAGTAAATAAATGCTATAAAACCATTGTGTAATGCCAGAAAGTATAAAGCACATGTTGAAGGAAAACAGTGATATTTGTCAAACAGAGAACACGAATGATAGATAAATGTGGTAATAGATAAAAAGCAGCATCTTCGTGTGGATGATCACTCGGGATGCCATGCGGTGTATTAACCTACAACATAAGAAAACATGAATACATAATGTATCATAAGTAATGGAGTTTGAGAGAATTTTTAACACGACAAATTTGCAAATTTAATCTATTTCGATTAATTATCAGACCAAACATGTAACTATTCGCCTGAAGTCCGAATTGTCATAAGGGAATGGTGATGCCTTGATAGTTCGCGATCAGCTGCGGGGTGAGGTCAAATGGGGTTTAGCGTCATACTTAAGAATATTTCGCTCATATCACGACCTGCATGCGTGTGTATGTGTGGTTGCTTGTACTAGACTTAAGTTTTATAGTGCCAGCTCACTGCGATACCATGCCGCAGTTAAGCCTGAATACCCCATTCAGACACATTATACTAACTCCGAGCCGACCAGTCCTTGTTGTACCCATTAATGCCGAGCCCCATGGCAGTTACCAACAAGTGCCATATTTTAACGTCTTTTGGTATGACGCGGCCGGGGATCGAACCCGCGAGCTTCCCTTCTCCCGGCGGACGCTCTAACCACTACACCACGGAGGCGGTCCGATTAGCTACGAGGATTCGTTACCGATATGACAATACTGAAGGTTCTTATCCACCAGGATGCCTAAATTCGACAGGAGCGGTGGGGTAGCCCAGTGGTTAAAGCGTTCGCTCGTCACACCGAAGACCCGGGTTCGATTCCCCACATGGGTACGATGAGTGGAGCCCATTTCTGGTGTCAACCGCCGTGATATTGCTGGAATATTGCTATAAGCGGCGTAAAACTAAACTCACTCACTCACTCACCTTAATTCGTCATTCGTCACCTATTAATTCATGGCATCATAAAATAATAATTTTTAAATAACTGCATACTCCTTTCACTCATGAAAGCCATGAAATATGTTTCCTCTCCAACTAAATAAATGATTGAATGGTTTGTAAGCAGGCATCCGTGCGTGGATAATGTTGCAGCCAGCAACCCAGTTTTGTGTAACCTAGGTATTGTGGAGAGCGCTCCGACGCAACTGCATATCGATTATTTCGCACTGTATGGTGAGAGTTGTGAACCCGAGGAAGAGATGGGCACCTGATAGTTTCCATCTGACTTGTGTGTGCTGCTGACGTGGTAAGAATTTGCGGCTGTGCAGCTGATATGCAAAAGAGTGTGCAACTGTGCAGCTGAGGTTCTATGGAGCGGGAAACTGACGTGCTATAGAAGGTGTATTTGTGCAGCTGACGTACTACATAGTGTGCAGCTGGCGTGCTACAAAGCATGCAGCTGACGTGCTACAGAGCGTGCAGCTGACGAGCTGCAGAGTGTTCATCTCTTGAATTTCTCATGATACAAACAATGTTCACTGGCATTCTACATGTCATGCAATCTGCTATTTTACAGAGCTTGCAGCTGACGTAATACATAGTGTGCAGCTGACGTGCTACAGAGTGTGCAGCTGACGGACTACAGAATTTGCAGCTGACGTGGTACAGAGCGTGCAGCTCACGAGCTATAGAGCGTGCTGATGACGTGCTAAAGAATTTGCAGCTGACGTGCTACAGAAAGTGCAGCTCACGTGCTACAGAGCGTGCAGCTGACGAGCTACAGAACATGGTGATGACGTGCTACAGAGCGTGCAGCTGACGAGCTACATAGTGTGCTGATGACGTGCTGCAGAGTTTGCAGCTGACATGCTACAGAGCGTGCTGATAACGTGCTACAGAGTTTGCAGCTGACGTGCTATACAGCGTGCAGCTGACGTGCTACAGAGTTTGCAGCTGACGTGCTACAGAGCGTGCTGATGACGTGCTACAGAGTTTGCAACTGACGTGCTGCAGAGTTTGCAGCTGACGTGCTACAGAGCCTGCAGCTGACGGGCTACAGAGCGTGCTGATGAAGTGCTACAGAGTTTGCAGCTGACATGCTATAGAGTTTGCAGTTGACGTGCTACAGAGCGTGCAGCTGACGTGCTACAGAGCATAGAGCTGACGTGCTGCAGAGTTTGCAGCTGACGTGCTACAGAGTTTGCAACTGACGTGCTGCAGAGTTTGCAGCTGACGTGCTACAGAGCGTGCAGCTGACGTGCTACAGAGCGTGCTGATGACGTGCTGCAGAGTTTACAGCTGACGTGCTGCAGAGTTTGCAGCTGACGTGCTTCAGAGCCTGCAGCTGACGGGCTACAGAGCATGCAGCTGACGTGCTACAGAGCGTGCTGATGACGTGCTGCAGATTTGCAGCTGGCGTGCTACAGAGCGTGCAGCTGACGTGCTATAGAGCATGCAGCTGACGTGCTACAGAGCATGCAGCTGACGTGCTACAGAGCGTGCAGCTGACTTGCTACAGAGCATGCAGCTGACGTGCTACAGAGTGTACTGATGACGTGCTGCAGAGTTTGCAGCTGACATGCTACAGAGCGTGCTGATAACGTGCTACAGAGTTTGCAGCTGACGTGCTATAGAGCGTGCAGCTGACGTGGTGCAGAGTTTGCAGCTGACGTGCTACAGAGCGTGCTGATGACGTGCTACAGAGCGTGCAGCTGACGGGCTACAGAGCGTGCTGATGACGTGCTGCAGAATTTACAGCTGACGTGCTGCAGAGTTTGCAGCTGACGTGCTACAGAGCCTGCAGCTGACGTGCTACAGAGCGTGCTGATGACGTGCTGCAGAGTGTGCAGCTGACGTGCTACAGAGCGTGCAGCTGACGTGCTACAGAGCATGCAGCTGACGTGCTACAGAGCGTGCTGATGACGTGCTGCAGAGTTTGCAGCTGACGTGCTACAGAGCGTGCAGCTGACGTGCTATAGAGCATGCAGCTGACGTGCTACAGAGCGTGCAGCTGACTTGCTACAGATCATGCAGCTGACGTGCTACAGAGCGTGCAGCTGACGTGCTACAGAGCGTGCAGCTGACTTGCTACTGAGCATGCAGCTGACGTGCTACAGAGCGTGCAGCTGGCGAGCTACAGAGTGTGCATCTCTTGAATTTCTCGGCACGTATCCATCATGATACAAACTATGTTCACTGGCATTCTACATGTCATGCAATCTGCTGTTTTACAGACAGTGCCTTCTTACATTCTACAACTCACGCATTCAGATATTTCTGTAGATGTGATCGACGAGGGGACATGTCCGATAGGGTCCTCCACGTATACTGGTTATCGTATGTGTGTTACGTGAAGGGTGTGTTCTCATAAAAACTGTAGACTATATGAAGGGCGTGCTCGCATCTCCAGCGTGTACATGATGGATGTGTTTGTGTACGGGACGTATACATGATGCGTGTGTTCGTGCATTTGACGTGTACATAAGGCATGTATTCATATATTGGACGTGTACATGATGCGTGTTCGTGCATTTGGCGTGTACATAATGCATGTATTCATATATTGGACGTATACATGATGCGTGTGTTCATATAGAGCGTGCATCTCTTGAATTTCTCGGCACGTATCCATCATGATACAAACTATGTTCACTGGCATTCTACATGTCATGCAATCTGCTATTTTACAGAGCGTGCAGCTGACGTACTACATAGTGTGCAGCTGGCGTGCTACAGAGCGTGCAGCTGACGTGCTACAGAGTTTGCAGCTGACGTGCTATAGAGCGTGCAGCTGACGTGCTACAGAGCATGCAGCTGACGTGCTACAGAGCGTGCTGATGACGTGCTGCAGAATTTGCAGCTGACGTGCTACAGAGCGTGCAGCTGACGTGCTATAGAGCATGCAGCTGACGTGCTACAGAGCGTGCAGCTGACTTGCTACAGATCATGCAGCTGACGTGCTACAGAGCGTGCAGCTGACGTGCTACAGAGCGTGCAGCTGACTTGTTACTGAGCATGCAGCTGACGTGCTACAGAGCGTGCAGCTGGCGAGCTACAGAGTGTGCATCTCTTGAATTTCTCGGCACGTATCCATCATGATACAAACTATGTTCACTGGCATTCTACATGTCATGCAATCTGCTGTTTTACAGACAGTGCCTTCTTACATTCTACAACTCACGCATTCAGATATTTCTGTAGATGTGATCGACGAGGGGACCTGTCCGATAGGGTCCTCCACGTATACTGGTTATCGTATGTGTGTTACGTGAAGGGTGTGTTCTCATAAAAACTGTAGACTATATGAAGGGCGTGCTCGCATCTCCAGCGTGTACATGATGGATGTGTTTGTGTACGGGACGTATACATGATGCGTGTGTTCGTGCATTTGACGTGTACATCAGGCATGTATTCATATATTGGACGTGTACATGATGCGTGTTCGTGCATTTGGCGTGTACATAATGCATGTATTCATATATTGGACGTATACATGATGCGTGTGTTCATATAGAGCGTGCATCTCTTGAATTTCTCGGCACGTATCCATCATGATACAAACTATGTTCACTGGCATTCTACATGTCATGCAATCTGCTATTTTACAGAGCGTGCAGCTGACGTACTACATAGTGTGCAGCTGGCGTGCTACAGAGCGTGCAGCTGACGTGCTACAGAGTTTGCAGCTGACGTGCTATAGAGCGTGCTGATGACGTGCTACAGAGCGTGCAGCTGGCGTGCTACAGAGCATGCAGCTGACGTGCTACAGAGCGTGCAACTGACCGGCTACAGAGCGTGCTGATGACGTGCTGCAGAGTTTGCAGCTTACGTGCTACAGAGCGTGCAGCTGACGTTCTACAGAGCATGCAGCTGGCGTGCTACAGAGCATGCAGCTGACTTGCTACAGAGCGTGCAGCTGGCGAGCTGCAGAGTGTGCATCTCTTGAATTTCTCGGCACGTATCCATCATGATACAAACTATGTTCACTGGCATTCTACATGTCATGCAATCTGCTGTTTTACAGACAGTGCCTTCTTACATTCTACAACTCATGCATTCAGATATTTCTGTAGATGTGATCGACGAGGGGACATGTCCGATGATCATATTGTCCACGTATGCTGGTTATCGTATGTGTGTTACATGAAGGGTGTGTTCTCATAAAAACTGTAGACGATATGAAGGGCGTGCTCCCATCTCCAGCGTGTACATG